GCCCCTAGGCACCTGGGTTTGAGACCCCACAGTGCACATACTTCTTTCTGATGAAGCCCACCGACACTCAGAGGGCTGCAGGCTGCAGGCTTTCACCTCTGCAGAGAGAGGATTTAGCATCTAGGAATTCTTGGCTCTCACCGGGTACCTGTTTGGTACGTGTTTCAGCAGCTCAGTAAACGTTGCCTCTTATTTAAGAAAAGCTGGTCTTACCCTGGATTTGCCAAACAGAAATGAGGGGGCGTTCATTTGTATCGCAAAGGGATTGTTTGTTTCTTTAAATAACCAGCCCTGCTACTTTTCTTTTAAGGGTTTTTAGTTAATGGGAAATTTGATATGCACACAGTGTAGCATCAGAAGCTCGTCCGTGGTCCAGCGTCAGCTCCCAGCTCCCCTGTAGAGTCCGCTGGAGTGTGGTCAGGCCACTTGGCGTATCATCCACCTTGGCCGGGGCGGGGGCTTTATTTCCGTGGCTGACGAGGAGGCTGCCTAAGGGGACTTTGTCAGTGGCCGACGCGCTGCTACCCCATGTGTGGGGGCCGGCCAGCCGGGAGACAGGTGCACGGTGAAGCAGTTGGGCTTTCTTCTTCTCCTGGGGCTAAGGATAGCCATTCTTTGTTGGTTCATTTGCCCAGTGTTTACTTACCACATACCAGTTATGTACCAAGTGTCGAGGTGAGAGCTTAGAAACTAGCAGTGAGCCCCAGTCTCTCCCTCAAGGAGAGGAATTAAAACCCTAATATTAGACATGGACGAATTTTCAAGATTCTAAGAATGGAAATAAATCCTGCCAGGCACTGTTCCGAGCCCAGATTAGCTCACTTGATCCCGAGACCTCACCGTGACGGGAGCAGCGTTCTCAATGCTCACCCTCCGGAGGCAGGAGATGGCGTGCTCGGGCATTAGATCTTGCCCGTGGCGAACGCAGGGTCTCAACCAGCTCCTCTGGCTGCAGAACGCTGACTCCTACCCAATAATGACACACACGCGAATGCGAAATGCACACGCGATGGGCAGGAGAAATAAAAGTAAAGATAGCAGTTCGTGAAGTTGGGATGGACGCAGGAGCATTGATACATAAATAAATATATGCATATATGTGTATATGATTTACTTTTTTAAAATGCTGGGGTAATAACGTAGATGACAGACAGGAATAAATAAAGAGAGACCAGCTAACAGTACCGCATGCAAAAAAAAGCTGAGGCAGGGGACTGATTTTCGCCCGAGACGGGCCTGTGGAAACCCGTGAACAACGCCGTGAATGGTTTCCGAGGAAGATACAGATTCCAAAAGCCGAGAAGGCAGGGAGGGAGAGGCACAGCTGGCAAAGGCTGGGACCAGGACGGGGCTGACGGCCATCGTTCCTCTCCTCCCACTTCTTGTTCGGAAAGTTCTAGGTAAGACATGTGATCAGGGTGAGGACGAGGCGTACCTATCAGCGGGGAGGAACGACAAATACCGTTACTTGAGATGATGTGATTCTCTCCCTGGAAACCTCGAAGGAAGCAACTGAAAACTCAAAAACCGTTACGAGTTTCAAAAAATGCTTACGACATAAATATACGGTGCTGAAAAAATTCATTGCTTTCTGATCCGAAAGCAGTAACCACTTGGAAAACAAAGTGGAAAAAAAATCTCATGCTCACAATAGCATAAAAGAGAGACCCCCTCAGATAATACTAAATGCGAAACGTATAGGTCCTATGGAGAAAATTAAACATTTTTTTCGGGAGACAGAAAATAAGATTTTAAACAAGGAGTCACCCTATTCCTGATAGAAAGACTCATCGTTGTAAAAGTGTCGACTGTCTTGGATTTAATTTCTAAATCTAAGACAATTTCAGTCAACATCCCAATATATATATATATTTTTTTTTTGTGGGGTGAGGGTCGGCGACGTTACAATGCTAATAAGAATCTAAAAGCTCGATCAACCGAATCAAAGTTCGCTTGGAAGAACAAACATGCCGAGATTGCCAAGAAAATGTTGAGACTAAGAGAGATGGAGGAGGACTCGCCTTGCCAGGATGAAGCATATTCTGAAGCTGCTGTAATTAGAAGCTATACTGCTATAACATGAGACAGATCTGTGGAACAGAAGGCCCAGATACAGACCCCAGGATGCATCCTTATTCAGCATATAATAAAGTTGGCATTTGAAATCAGTGGGTAAGGGATGAATTATTCAGGAAAAGATGTTGGGACGCATGAATACCCGTTTCGGGGGAAAAATGGCAAATTAGATTCCCACGTCACGTTAGATACCACAGAATCCCAGAGGATTAAAGAGTTTAAAATGCAGGTGATGCCAGATAAAACTAAAAAACAAAAACAGAAACAAATCGTATTTACATGACATCGGGGTGTAGGGGGGTTCTTCTGAAGTGCGTTTGGATCGCTTTCTTTGTCTAGTTTATTTACGTGTTGGCTGTCGTTCTGCAGGGCGTGTTTACTCGAGTGCTCCTTTCGTGATAAGTGGCGTCTCTAAATTCTCGTGTTCTGAAAATGTCTTGACTCTCCTTTTTTCGGAATGCTAGTTTGGCTCTGTGTGAGGTTTTAGGTTCAAGGTGAACTTTCCTAAGCCTTTGCAGATACTGCTTTATCAGGCTCTCGAATTCAAAATGGCAGATGAGAAATCCGACGTCGTAATTATCTTTGTCCCTTTGTCCCTTTGTTAATATTCCCTCTTCCTTCTCCCTGGCCCTGCTGGACGCGGTAGCACGCTTCGCCGTCTGTCTGTCCTCTCCTGAACGCCTTTGGGATGGAGCCGAGAATGTCTGGATCCGTCCTTCACGTCTCGTCTCATCTCTATTATTGTTTCTTGCGCTCCTTGCGGAATTCTGGAGAATTCTTTCAATTCGGACTTCCAGTTTGCTACGTCCCTCTTGAGCTGCGTTTACCTGTTATCAGCCTCACCGCTGAGTTTCCCGTGTTGGCAGTCACGGATTTTATTTCCTGATCTCTGTTTCTCTTTCTCTCTTTGCTTTGTTTCAAAGTCGGCTTATTTTGTCTACGGCCACGCCACCCTGAACAAGCCCGATCCCGTCTGATCTCAGAAGCTGAGCAGGGTCGGGCCTGGTTAGTCCTTGGATGGGAGACCACCTAGGAAGACCAGGTGCTGTAGGCATAAAAAAATTTAAAATATAAGGGATTGTAAGCTGATAAGGTCCTTGCAATCTGTGAGGTCAATCAAAGGTTGCCTCACCTAAAAAAAAAAAAAAAAAATTAAAACCAACAACAACGATAAAAAAACAGTTGGCTTATTTTTTCTCATTGTATAACTAATGCATTTTTCTCATTGTATAACTAATGCATTGTGAAGATGTCCAGCAGTACAGAAAAATGAAAGGTTGAAAGTAAAAATAATCTGCCATCTACTGCCCGGAGATAACTAGCACTGGCCTTTCATGACCCTGCTCAGAGCAATCACAGCCCCTCCGACACCCCGACACCCATAATTTGACACAAAGACCAAGCGTGTGTTACCTCTAAAACACAGCAAATATTACAACAGAAAAAGGAGAACGTAGAAAAGAAAGGACCCCTTGGTTCCCAGCCATGAGGGTTTAAAATGTTTAAATATGATGCGAAATTTCAAACATCTGGAAAAGTAGGTTACTGTCACATGTCCTCATGTGCCCATCGCCCAGGTTCTGTGGTGACCACGTGTGACTCGTTTTCCATCTGTGGCCCTCTACTTTCTCTCCCCTTCCTGCCATGTGGAATTATTTTGAATCGAATCCTTTTGTCCACGAAGATTTCATGGCGTATCCTCGAAGGGTAAGAGTTCTTTAACAAAAAGTTTACCATGATACCATGATGACACCCCAAATTATAATTCCTTAACAGCAACAACAATAATCCCCTCATACCGTGAAAAATGAGTACAGCCGTCTTCCTGATGCTTCTTGTGGTTTTTAAACTAATAGTTTAAATTAGGGTCCAAACAAGGAATGTTTGTTTCTTAAATCTCTTCGAATCTGTAAGTTTCTCCTCTGCCCCTACTTCATCCTTCTGGTAATTTCTTTGGTTTGAGTTTTTAGTTATCTTTTTTCATTTTCGAGCAGTTTTGGGTTTACATAAAAATGGATAGGAAGGTAGAGTTTTGGTGTCGTCGCTCGGCCCCAACCCTGTGTCCCTGCCGTCGGCCTCCCGCACGAGCGCCGTGCGCCCGTGACAGCCGATGCGCCCCTGGGGACACGTTATCATTCACTGAAAGCCACCGCTGGCCCTGGGGTTGGCACTCTGCGTCGCCGGTTGTGTGTGTGTCCCCACCACCCTAGCATCGTGCAGAGCTGGTTTCACTCCCTGAACGGCTCTCTGTCCCTCGTGCAGTTTATTTGTTGAAGAAACTGGTTTTCTTGGCGTTTTCCATACTCGTGTGTGCGTGTGTGCATGTGTGTGAGTGTGCATGTGTGTGAGTGCATGTGTGTGTGTGCGCATTGTGTGTGTGTGTGTGTGTGTGTGTATTTGGCTGCAAGCTGCTAAGGTAACGATGCAAACGTTACAGCTGATTTCTCCCTTCCACGTCAGGGACGCAGCTCCTGGGTGAGACAGGGGTGTGGGTGTTTCTTTCCTGCTCTGTATCTACACGCCCTTCATCATAGAGACAGGTCTCTAAGTGCGATGCTAGTGTTTAAACGCATTCCCAACCCTAACTACGAGCCCGCCACTTCCCATCCGAGCAGGAGCAACGCTCTGTCCCAAACCCGGCCACCTGAGCGATCTTCGAGGGAGTGTAATTTTGAGCCTAGGTGGACTTTTGAACCCTAGTTAATTTTAGAAGCTTAGCCAGTCTGCCAGTCACAGCATCCGTGTGCCCCAGAGTTCGACTTCCACTGAGACTGAGACGCAGAAGCCGAAGGCGTCGTGTGTTTCGGTGTAAAGCCTTCACGTGTTGTGCAGTCCAGGTCTAACCATCTCTTCCTCCCTCTCCCCCTCTTCCCCTCTCCCCATCCCTCCCGCCCTCCCTCCTACCCCTGTTTTCTCTTTTGCAGTCTGCTGTTTCGTCGTGCACAAGCGGTGCCATGAATTTGTCACTTTCTCCTGCCCAGGCGCCGACAAGGGCCCAGCCTCTGATGTAAGTAGCGGGCAGCAGTGCCTCCTCTTGGGTGAATGTGACAAAAGGGTCAGGACGGTCTCATCCCCGGCCATGTGGTGGTCCTTACAGCCGCTGAGATGTTTCTTGTTTTAACGGGAAAAAAAAAACAACAAAAAAAATTTTTTTAGCGGGGGTGTGACTGTACAGGAAACCAGCTAGTTCCCTCACTGTGATTTTGCTAAAGGTCTTAACATTTTTTAAGTTGACTTTATTGGGGTGACATTGGTTAATCAGATCAGTTGCAGGTTGCTTCAGGAATGTCTTCATCTTCGTAGCCGAGGCACGGGGAGGGGCGGGCAGGGGCTGAACTGTCACCGCTCCTGTGGAACGTCCCTGGAAAGATGCCCCGCACACTGCTGCTCTTCGTGGGGGGATTTTGGTGCAGGGGCCCAGGAACTGGGAGGAGGCGAGTTTATCCTGAGACCGTGCGTCCCAAAGCACAACTCCCAAGGGGCGGGGCACGGGATGCTGCTGGATAAAACCGGCAAATAATTTTTGTTTTAATCATTATGGATTTATTCTAACTTGGATTGGGGAAAAAAAACGAAAACGTATCCAGGAATGGGTTCACATTGATAGTAGGGATGTGAACTTTTCTACGTACATAAAGGTATTTAGCTTACCAACCACGTTAGTTTGTTGTAATAATTTTTTAAACCTTAAGGGTTAACAAAAAAAATGAAAAAACGAAAAAACGAAAAATCAAAAAAACCCAAACAAATAAATAAATAATCCTGAGACCGTGCGTCCCAAAGCACAACTCCCAAGGGGCGGGGCACGGGATGCTGCTGGATAAAACCGGCAAATAATTTTTGTTTTAATCATTATGGATTTATTCTAACTTGGATTGGGGAAAAAAAAACAAAAACGTATCCAGGAGTGGGTTCACATTGATAGTAGGGATGTGAACTTTTCTACGTACGTAAAGGTATTTAGCTTACCAACCACGGTAGTTTGTTGTAATAATTTTTTAAACCTTAAGGATTAACAAAAAAACCCCAAAAACCAAAAAACAAAAAAACCCAAACAAACAAATAAATAAATAAATAAAGGGGTCGAGAGCAGAAGGATTGAAAACACGCCATGCCATGTGCCCGTCACAGAGCAGGGCCTTTCGATCGCCCGGTCAGCGTGTCTCTGTGGTGGTGAACGGATCGGTGACTCTGCCTCCATCTGCCCAGAGCGAGCCGGGTGCGCTGCTGCTTCGCCCCAGGCCTCGGGTCCCGCGGTCTCAGCGCCGAGGGCCTGGGTGGCACGTCCCAGCGTGGCCACCTGCTGCTCCAGCGCTTGGGGGCGGAAACACTTAACGTTTTTGTAACACTTGGTTTATATCTTTCAAGTGGGGGAAATGATACCTACATCATACTTTTTTGATGAGAATTCAGTGGGGGACCCATCGAGCTCCATCCAGGAAGATCTCCCCTGCTGAAGAAGGAATAGGGGTCCCCCTCTGACCTGCCAAGGATTAATAGCTAATAATGACCGACTTTGTTGATTGGGGCTGCCAAAGAATAATAGCTAATAATGACCGACTTTGTTGATTGAGTGCCAGGCGGTACAAAAGGACTCGTTAGCAGGTTTGTCTAAAAGTGCTTTCTTCAGAATTTTGTGGTCTTAGAAATAAGTTCTTATCATGTACAGTCAAGGCGCTCAATGAGATCCATGTCAACGGAGTGAGCCCTCCTGAGCCTGCCTGTAAACCAGGTCGGGCAGAGGCGACGGGCATTGTGTCTCGGCTCTCTCTTCATCGTCTGACTTGATGAAGAAACATTTAAAAACGGTAAATTATGGATTAAATGTGGAGGACTTCATCAAAGGGAAGTAAAAGAAAATTCAGAAAGAATCTATACCGTATTTATATATTAAAAAGAACACGTAGATACGTGTGACTGTGTTTGAGAATCTGGTGAAAAGGGATGATTTTCTGGGAAATTTTAAATTGCCGATTTTGTCTTAAGGAGAAATGGAAAAGCAGAATTGGCGAATAACCGAGAGGGGTGGGGGGCGGGAGAGAGAGAGAGAGAGAGAAAGACATGAGAACATTGCCTGAGAAGCGTTTCTTTTCCCGAAGCCCCAGACCGTTAGGCTTCCTGGGGAAATTATTTTAAACTTTAGAGAATAAAGGATTTCTGTTCATTTTAAAGTGGATTGGATCACAGAGAAAAAGTAAAACCCTCACGATTTTTTTAAATCAAAAGTGAGAGTGATCCAACTCAAAGTAGCGGCCGGAAAAGAGACGCTCGTGGGAAGGTCACTGGGAAGGAGAACGGGCTTCAGGGACGAGGGCCAGCGTCACACATGGGACCAGGCCCCGCCTGGCAGGACACTCTGTCACCGCGGGCTCCCCCAGCCGCCTCCGCCCCGAGCTCCGACGACCTGATTCTTGTCCTCCAGAGACTCGGGGTTTGGGATCGAAGGGACCGGTTTCAGTCTGGGCCGGTCGCAAGGTTTTGGAGCCAGTCGATGGCTCGTTCCAGAGCAAACGCGTCCCTGTCACCAAACCCCAGAAGCCCTTCTCTGCACCCTGCAGACCCCCGACTCCACCCCTCCCATCAAGATCCTCCCATCAAGATCACCAGTGCCCAGGCCCGCCGTCACGTGCCTGCTCCCCCTTCTCCCCCCACAGTGAGCTGCTTGTTCTGATTTGATTTCGGAACCTCACACTCCTGGTGAGAACCGGGACCGCCGTGGAAACCACTGTGCCTGCTCCCGGCCCAGTGCCGCGGCGCTGTGCGAGGGCCCAGGGCGTGTCATCGGCGCCCGTGCGCCCTGCCCCCAAGGGGCCCCCTCCGCTCAGCCCGTCGCTTTCTTTTTCTTTCTGTCCCTGGTCTTTCGAGGACCGAGGTCCACACTTTCCACTTTCTCACGGGAAGTCCGAAGCTCCTAATTTCAGATGTTGAGAGAGAATTTGGGAATTCCTGCAGCGGTGTGTTTTAAGCGCCTTCTTGGGCTGGATTCCCTCTGTGGACCGCCGGTCATAAGCTGGGCTCTAGCAGGTGGAAATGAACGGTCAGCGGAAATGTCGGTTTGGTCAAACCAGCCTTCTCCCGGGAGCGGGGAGGAGCCGCCGTGCATGGCGGGGACTCTCCAGGACACGGGCGTCCCCCTTTCCTGGCGGTGTGGTCAAGGTTTATGTGGGGGGCTGCTCGCATTTCTCTAAGCCTGGACCAGCCCAGGACAGGGACCTCCGCGCCCTCCGCGTCCCGTGGGGTCTGTAGCCGGCTGTGGCAGCCACTTGCTTCTGAAGGCTTTGAGAGGGACGCCACTCATCGTTCTGCGTGTTTATCGAGAGCCCGCCGCGGCCAGGGACGACCGTTGGCTTCCTGTGTTCGGTCACTCGCCACACACACCGGCATCAGGCCAGCCGCTGGACGTCCCGTGGACTTGGGGAGAGAGCCAGGCCAGGCCGCCCTTCCCTCCATCCGAACCGCACCTTTTCTGCATCTTGACAAACGTTTGAAGCGTTTGCTGGCGTTTACTGGCTCATTTGCTCGTGCTGTCTCCCCTGCCGGTGGCCCCGATTTCTGGGCTGAAGTAGATTCTCCTGTTTTTAAACAATTCCTCCCGGGACTGTGGGCGGTGGCTCGGCGGCGAGGGCAGAGTGATGACCAGGCTGGCCGGCCTCTCGCGTGTTGCTTAAGAGCGTGACGTCTGGGTTCAGATCTCGGCTCTGCCACTTACTAGCTGTGCGACTTCGGGGAAGTCGCTTAACATCTCCATGCTCCGTGTTTCTTCATTGTTGACATGGGGACGATGACATACCTACTTCCCAGGGATTTGCAGTAAATCCACATACGCAACGAGCTGACGACAGCATCCTGCACGTCGTGGAAGTGTTTGCTCCGCCCAGAGCCGGGGCCCGATTCTGCCTTCCGTCCCGGCCCCGAGGTCCTGCTCCGGCTGCTCACTCCTGCATCTCGGCCCTGCCTCGTGCAGCGTTCTGGCACTGGCCCCCATACCCCCTTAACTGTGGACCTCTGAAGGCCTGCCCCGCCCCCCCGCGTGTCTCTCCACTGCCAAGTCCTCGCGTGCCTCCGGCGTGATAGTTACAGCTCACACTGAGGTGGCACCTGTCCTACGCCAGCTGCTCTTCTGAGTGGCTGCTGTACGCCACCTCCGGGCATCCTCGCCCTACAAGCAAGTCACTGCATCCCACAGAGGGGGAGACTGAGGCAGACAAGTCAGCTGACTTGCCAAGTCAGGGACTAATAGGCAGCAGAGTCTGCACTTGAACTTGGCCCAGCCCTCGAGTTTGCTCTTAGCCACCACGGTACGCAGCTACCGCTTCTCCATGGCCACGGCGAGGATCCTGGCCCCGGCTCCCTGCTCCCTCCCTGGACCAGAGGCCTCCGGCCCTGAGTCCCCGACGCTTGTCTGTCACTGGCCTGTCCCGTGCACGTGGCCGTGGAGTCGTCTTGCCCCAAGCTGGATGTGACCAAGTCGTCGTCCTTGCTGAGGGCACATCGGTGGCGTCCCACTGCCCCTGGGACAAGTTGGGGCTCTGCCGTGGCTTACCAGCCGGGCCACCACACTTCCCCTGCCACACCTGCCCGTGAGCAGGCTGGGTGTCCGCTGCGTGTGCGTCCCGGTCACTCTCAGGCACGCCTTTCGGAACGTAGATGGCGCGGTCGCCCTCCTCGTAAGGCCCTGTCCCTCTGGCCTCTCCCTGAGCACCCCTCCCTTCCGAGCACCCTTCTTCCACTCCCTGTCTCCCCGCCGTCCTCCCTGCACTGGGCGTCTGCTCGTGCCGTGCCCGCTGCCGGCCGCTGCACGCTCCCTCCTTTGCCCGAGTTTGGTGAGCCTCGTCCGAACCTTTGGCGAGTCCTGCTTGCTCGTCTAAACCATCTGTGAGGCTGACAGCAGACACCGGGCCTGACGCAGACGAGCGGCATCGGAAGCCCCGGCCTAGCCCAAGCCTCTCGGTCGGTTTCCGTGCATGTCCAGGCGGGGACCTGGCTGACTCAGACTCCTCCCGCTCA